AAGTATTTTAAACTGTATAAAAAAAATTGAAATCAATTGTGAAAATCCATTCCTTATATAGGACGTTCCCTCCTGTTGGTTGACTGTAAAGCATTTGCCGTACGACACAATTTTTGCTAAATATGGTGAAAACGTTGATCGCGCCAAAAACAGAAAAGGCGCGGCTAGTACTAGACGCAAAAGGAGACAATCGGCGAGAAAACTGCACGGAAGTCGCACGACTTGCGAGTTTTGGAAAGAGATTGTGACACGGCAAATGTTAAATCCTTTTTTTGTGTTAATTATAAACAAAACTTACGAGCTCCTGCAATACGTTCATCTACATGACCATTTTCGAAGATATAAACGAACCGTTGATATTTAAAATTTATTATCATCATCATTATTATATTTATCATTACATTATTATCATCATCAACAATATTTTAAATATTCACGCGTGGGCTAGAACATGTTCTCAAATATCAAGATAATCGAAAAAAAAACCTCCTGGATCTGCTTGAACCTATAACAGAAGAAAATAATGATAATTTTTTTAAAAACAGAAAAATGATCATTACTTGGCTTGTGATGTATATTGTAACATTATATTATTCTGAAATTTTGGTTAATCGACTAAGCATAATATTCAAACTTTGTTTGTTGCCTTTTTGCGACCAGCATAATCAGTTCGAAACAATGCAATTATACAATTAATTACTTGCTAATTATATATATAATTATATATTTAAATATTATTTTCTTAAAAAAATCAAAAATTTTTTTGATGGTAATTACCAATAGCCTATAAGCACATCTTTCTTCGGCAAACCTTGCAAGTTCAATAATTAATTTCTTCTGATGTTCTAAAGTATACACATGCGCAAAAAGAATATTTTCAAGTGCTGATTCTTGATCAATTCCAAATCATTTCACTGTGATTTTTTTTTAAGAATAAATTTATTTGCATTATAAGAAGAAATTATCTTCGTGTCAATAAAAGCAGCCTAAAAGATGTTTTAACGTTGGATGTTTAAATAAAATTATAACTATATATATTACTTGGAGAAATATTAACCTTCCCCCATGTTGAGTGGAAGTTATGCTGCAACGCATAAAGTGTTCTGAATTCACCAAATTCCTTGGTTATTGACATAGTAGGAATTCCTCCTATTCAAAAATAATCAAAGTCTTAGAATCAATCAAATCATCAATTTGTCGGTTCTTCATCAATTCGTTCATTTTTATAATTACCTCCAAAAGCGCGTTCAATGCTTTACTTCCCGCTGGAATATATATGACTTTTGATCTTATATGAGAAAATTCTGTAGCAGTTATAAAGATGTAGACTATATTATATGCATTTATGGGAAAATATTTATTTAGAAAATCAACGCTAATAAAATATTTATTATTACCCGAAGTTTTCCTACATTTTCTTTAAGTTTACCAACCAAGCTCATCTAGATGTCGTTTAATTGTAACATAACTAAGATTATATCAAACTTGGATAGTTTATTGGCCAAACTTCTTAAAGAAAGAGTAGGATCTCTTTGAAGAAACTGCCCAAGAGTTCTTGCTGCAGTTTGTGTAACCTTCTTTGGTTGTCCAGGTTTTTGTCTATGGGATAAAGTTCCTGTATCATTCAATTTTTTAATATTATATTTAATAGTAGATAGTGGAATGCTTGTTAATTTATGAATTTCTTGGGATTTATGGACACCCTTCTTCCAAAAATGTAATATAGTCTGACGTTGTGATTCTAGATCTGATGATGTCATGGTTACAGCTTTATTTGTGATAATATGATAATAAAATTTTTTAAAAACTGTATTACAAGTAAGAAAAAACAATAACAAACGTATGTGTAAAATGCAATGTGATATTATTGTTTACGCAAAAAGTTATCACGTTTTAAATCACATGGCTTTTTGGCCAATTATTTTTGTAACACACTGTACATATGCTATATATTTATTCTTTAGAGATTTTATGAAAAAGTCCAGGATGTTAATGGGTGGGACGACACTAGTTAATATTAATATATGTTGTGCGTCAAAATCAAATTGTGTGAAATTGAAATTATATATTAATATAATTAAAATTTGGGGTGGGTGTTGAATGCGTGTCAATTTTAAAATTGACATATATATAGTAAATTCGAATTTTACTATGATGCAGATCATCCAAAATTTACAACCCCCTATAGATCTGTGGGAAATGCCTTGTGAACTGTTAACATCTACACTCACCTACAATAAATGGGGTGTGGACAATAGAAACGGACCATGTTGTGAAAAAAGCAATTTTGAGTTAGTATCACTATTATATGTAATTCCTCATGTAG